CCGCCGGCGGGGTCATGGAGCCGCACGCGGTCTACTCGGGGTCGGCGGCCGCCTGGCCTCCCTCGGCCCCGGCGGCGCTCAACAGTGGCGCCTCCTACATCAAGCAGCAGCCCCTGTCACCCTGCAACCCCGCGGCCAACCCCCTGTCCGGCAGCCTCTCCACGCACTCCCTGGACCAACCGTATCTACACCAGAACAGTCACAACGCCCCAGCCGAGCTGCAAGGTGAGTGGGGAGGCGCCCATCATGCGCGCGCTGTGGAGACCCAGCCCCAAACCCGCTGATCGCTCTTGAGGGGAGGCACAGGCTCCCAGCCTGCCCCCAGCACTACCTCTTCCCTCTAAGGGGTGAGCGCGGTTTACCATCCTCGGTCTGGGCCAATCTGTCTCTCTCGCTGCTCCAACTCCCGCCGCTGGCCGCCCCAAGCCTAATCAGGTAGGCCCCGTCCTCACCAAAAAGTCTCAGACCCCAATACTCTAAGTCTTTCTGGGTCCCTGAAGTCCCCTCACACGTCAGAAAGGTCCCACTGTGGAGCCAGGGGAATTCAGCCTGACCAGCTGGCCCACCGTCCCCTGGTGGTCGCCTTAGCAAGCTGTCTAGAGAGCCGCATCGGCTCCAGGGCCCGGGCACTACGGAAAAGTTAGGCCCAAAGCTGCCTGGGCTGGGCACTCAGAGGCTCAGCCCCCGCCTCTCAGGAAACCAGGCCTGCCAGTGGGACAGTTAAGTCCAGGGGTATTTTGTGGTGACAGAGGCAGGGCGGTGCCATGGCCAGGCCCAGTGAGGGTCAGAGCCGCAGGCCTTACAGACTCTTTGTTTCTCGGTATCCAGGTTTTCAGGCCCCCAGCCTACTCCCTCCCCAAACACACACAACCCCCGAGAAAGAAGATGCAGAGCAAGCTTCTCCTTACCCCAACTCCCCACCTCAGCACCCAGCAGCAGCCTTCTGTGCCCGGTTCTGGAAAGAGCCAGGGAGTGAACTCAGCTTGTCAGGGGTCAGCTGTCAGCAGCTTGCGGGAGGCAGTGCAGGCCTGGACACGGGTGGGCCACCTCTCTGTCGGGGTCCCCCCCTGCTTGGGCTGTTTCTGACTCCAGGGTTCCAGCTGCCCTGGGGGGCCCTGTTCTCCAAAGGATCCTTCCTTGGGAGAAGCCACTTCTCTCGCCCCCCCATGATCCAGCTGCTTGCTGCCATGGGCACCAGTCTCTCTCTCTCCACCCAGGCCTCTCCAGCCTCTGGGGTGACTGCCCTAGAGGTGGCGGCCACAGGTTACAGCTGCTGGGGCCCTTCCTGGCTTCTGCAGACCGAGCGCGGCCTTCCTCATCCCTTCCCCGTTGGCTTTGGGAAGCCCCTGGTCCTGGGCCGCGGTGTCCAAGGCAGGAGAGGCCTGGGTGGCGGGCGCTGGGGGGAGTAGGGCACTTCGCTGGGGGGAGTAGGGCGCTTCGCTGGTGCTCAGGGATCTTTCCCTGGGGTGCAGAGCAGGGGGGCTGTGGCGCTGCAGCCCGGCCTCACCAAGGGCCAGGAACTTGGGACGCAGCGGACAGAGCGCAGGGAGGCGGCGGGTCTGCGCTCGAGCCGGGCTGGGCTGCCTGCTGCGCCCCGCGGGCAGCGCGGCTGCTCCGTCCTGAACTCGGGCCCCCTGACGCTAACTCCTTTGCTCCCCCAACCCCTCCTATCGCCTCGCCTTGCAGGCATCCCGCGGTATCACTCACAGTCGCCCAGCATGTGTGACCGAAAGGAGTTCGTCTTCTCTTTCAACGCCATGGCGTCCTCGTCCATGCACTCGGCCAGCGGCGGCTCCTACTACCACCAGCAGGTCACCTACCAAGACATCAAACCATGCGTGATGTGAGGCTGCGGCCCGCGGGGCCCTCCCGGCACAGGCAGGCCAGGCGCAGGGACCTCGGAACCCATCGCAAGAAACTGCTTTATTCTCGAGGTATAACCGTCGGCAGAAGAAAAGGGCTTGACCCCTCCCCAACCGGATTATTTGGAAAGAAACGCCCAACGCAAAGACCTGGTGCTGTGGTTGGCACGGCCTCCCCCACTCCCTCAAAATTTTTAGAAAATGATAGTGGTGGGGCCTGACCTGACTGCAGCTGTCGGTAAATAAATGTCTATTTTTGATCCGATTGAAACGGGCTGAGAAGGTGCTGTGTTGGGGAAAGCCCTCAACCTCCGAACGAGGACTCTGCTGAGGTCTCTCCCCCGTCTCCCCTCCACGGCAAAGGTGGGGGAAGGTTTTTAGAAGAAAGGCAAACATGTGAGACCAGTCATTATCAAATACTTTTATTTTTTGGTTGAGTATTTATCTTTTTATTTGTAATTTTTTGGAAAGAATGTCGTGGAATGCGCAAGTCTCCCTTTAGAGCCGTCTTTTGCGGGGAGGGGTGGGGGACCGGGAACCGCCTTCTCCCCCCACCTCGAAGGTCCTCTCCATCAAACGCAGGTGGATTTTGGTGCGAACAACTTGCATTTCTGAAGCCACTGTTCGTCTTCGAAAAGGAAATAGAAGGAGCCAACAGGCCAGCGGCTGAGCGGCCTCTGCCGTCCCCTTCCGCCTTCCTCTTCCTCCTCCTCTTCAGCCTTTTTTTTTTTTTTGGTTTGTTCTGAATTTTATTTTGACTTTTTCGGTGGGTATTTTTCTCTCTCCTGATCTCTACTGTACACTTTCTGGTCCGAGAACGAGGCAAACACAGCGCGACACAGGGACTGGGAAGGCCTGGTGACCGTGCGTATTCAGGATTGCGGTGACACAGAAAGGTTAAGGCACTTTTTAAAACTATAGCAAGGCTCATCCTGTTATTTATTCTACTTTCTCTCCCTAATTATCGGAACACCGCATAGGCTCCTCCGTTGATCAGTATTAATGGTGTAACTTTGTTGGCAATATTTGCCATGTAGAGTTTTTTTTGTTTGTTTGTTTGTTTGTTTTTAGGTATCCATTGTAAATTTGAAACAAAGACCGATCTGTGTAAAAACAAATTTCCATATGTTTTATATAAATATATATATAATATGAAGGACTACCCCTCCTTTTTTTTTTTTTTAGTACTTTGGCTGCTGGGGTGCAGCGTTTGTGACACATTTTAAACTTCCTTCTGCACTGTATAAAACGACAATTTGATGATGTTTTGCCTTTTGTGTATTTTTTTTTCCTAAAAAAGAACAAAAATAAAAATGTATAACATTTGTACGTGGCCTTGAAAATTGTATTAACTAGAAATAAAATCGCATGAGTATTTTATTGGGGTCGGGACTGAAGAGTATCTTCCCTCAAATATAGAAGGAAACAGGCTTTGGAGCTCTAGACATTTTTTAGTTTAAAATCTGGGTGATTTGGAATTCTTTTTTTTTTCTTCTTCTTTTTTTGGCGAATCCCCCTCTTTTCACTCTTCATTTCACATTGACGTAAAATCTGGACAAGAGTAACTATTTTTCTTGGCTTCCGTTTTTTAAGAAGAGCCCTCTGCCCCTCTAAATGTCATTTCTCTTTTCAAAGAAATAATCAAATGTTTAAAGACATACTAGTAGTCTTCCTTCCCCCGGGGAAAACCAAGGAAACCATGTATACATATAAGTGCATGTATGTATATATTGCACATATACATATATGTACACGAATATGCCTGTATATGTACATATATGTATATATGTCGATGGATATAACATGTATATGTTTTTTGCCAATCCAAAATCAATGAGAGTTTTACATTGACTTTCGGACTTGACCATTCCCATATTCTAGCTGTTATAAATCATGAAACAACTTTAAGGTTTTGTTTTGGTTTTCGTATTTTTATTTTTGTTTTTATTTTTTGGTGCCCTGTACTTGGTTTTCCCCAATCGAAAATCCAGTGAAATTAGAGCAAGAAAGTGTCGTTCATGGAAGAGCCGGGGACGGGCCGTTTCCAATCCGGGAACATTTCTCTCCTAAATCATATTTTTTCACCTCTGGGGAAAAAAAATTCTTAAAGCTTGTGTCTTCTACTGACTACCCTCTTTCTATTCCACTTTCCAGCTACCTAGGAAAACAAACACAGTAGGTCACATTGTTGGTGTGCCCGGTCCAGACCCACCGCAGTTTCTACGCGTCGTGGGGTCGTGAGTCTCTGAACCTGGTTCTTCTCAGATTTGACATTTTGGACGTGGGGGTAATTTCTCCGGTGCTCTGTTACATCAAAATTATCAATAAATTCGCCCGGGCAACTGATGTCTCAAACTAACAGCTGTCTATAAAACCGAGATAAAGGAGACAGGAAAAGGTCGGCGACTCCATCGCTCAGGGTCTCCGGCGGGACGAAGCGGCAGGCAGGGGTCTGCCCGGTGCAGCGCGCTGTCGCCCGCACGCGCCTGGCCCTGCGCCCCGGGGGCAGGTTCGCAGCCGGCGATGGCACGGTCCTCCCCGGGCGGAGGCCGCTTCTCCTCATCTTTCGCCTCCCACCAGTGCCCAGGGAAACCAGTCCGGAGAAAAGCCTCCGGGCGCCCCAGCGCAGGAGCATTGCGCCAGGCGCCGGCGCGGCCTCCGCAGGCGAGAGCTGGGCCTCCTCCTCCTTCCACCAGAGATTGCACCCCAATTAGGCCGGAGGCTCTAGGGAAGTGGGGCTGATTAGGAGAAACCCAACGCCGGCTCCTTCTGCAGAGTTTCCAGCCCCCGCACCCACTCACTTGGCGCCCTGGCGCGCCAGAGGCCTTCGTGCGCCCCAGTCGTGTGTGGCTTGGGCGCCGCTGGACCAGGGTTCACGGCGGCGACGAGCCCCAGCTTCCTGTTCATCTCCCCGGCGGCGCCTTCATTTCAGCGGGATCTCCCAGCGCACCCACGTCCTGACCGGGCTAGGTGGGGGGCACCCAGAGGGGCTTATGAAGGGAAACCGACCCGGCTGCCCGGGGCAGGGCCTGAACTCTGTCTCCGCGCCTGACTTGCGGCCTGGGGATGAGAGGGACAGCCCAGCCTTCCCGCGGGGAGAGCCTGGCTCCGGGCAAGGCCGGAAGGGCCAAATGACGCGGGCAGAATTGCCTCCGCACCCGCGTCCCAGATTTTGTGCCGCTGCTGCTGCGGCGCGAGGGCGACTCTGTTGGGCCGTGTCTTCCCTGGGGCCTGTTTCAGCCCGGGCTGAAGCTGCCACCGCCATGCGCCTCCACGAACGGGCGTCCGGCATGTGCGAATCACAAGTTTAAAACGCAGAGGCGCTTCTGAGTCTGGAACAAAATTCCGCGACCTGTGTGCATCGATGGCCATCGGTTAACACAGACATCCTGGACAGAACTAGTTCAAAATCTCTACGCACGCATTACGGGTTTGTCCTGCAACGATGCAGGCAAGGTGCCCTGAGTGCGAGTAATCCCCCAAATAACAAAAGGCCGGGAGCAGGGAAGTGGCAAGGATGGGTGCCTCGAGGTTCCGGACTGCACATCCCGCGGGCGCACCCGCGCCTCGGTGGTTCGTCCGTTGCAGCTGCGGGCAGCAGAAGAGCCTCGGCTGGCCTGCGGGTCCCCCAGCCCCGGGCCGGCGGGCGGGAAGTGCAGGCCAAGTAGGACTTTGCCGCCTGGATCCCGCCCCCAGGGCCCCTGCCCCGGTGCCGAGTGCCAAGCGGCAGGAAGGTGCCTGGTGCCCGGGGTGTGGGCTTCTGATGCCAAGGCGCCTGGCCCACCGACGCGCGCCCTGTCCCAGGTTTCTTGTCTCTTTGGGGCTGCAGGGTTGAGGGCGGGGAGGGGGTGGAGGGACAAAAGCCGAGCTCCTGCCTGCCAGCCGCCCACCAGCAGGCAGCTTTCTCCTGGGGTAGTGGCAAGATGGAGCTGTAGTCCCTGCTCTACTGCTGTCATCTGACCTAAGTCACCTCTGATCAGTTTCCTCATCTCTGATAGTGTCCTTGTGCACCTATAGTGGAAGGGACCGGTGGTTAATGGGTGACACTCCTAAGGAGAAAGGGGGTGGCCTAGTTCCCTGGAGCCCAGACAGGAGTTGTCGTCAGACCCCCATGTCCCTCACCTAGAGATCTAGTGGGGTGCGTGGGGGGGCAGTGGTGTTGTACGTCTGCGTGTGTGTATGGGGGGTTGCCACAGAGGTGTGAGAATCCATATATTACAAGGCCCCCTACCCAGGGACTTCCAAAGAGCACCCAGTTTAGAAACTGCTGAACTCACATCGTCCTGGACACACCTGGAATTTCCCTCCCTTCCCAGGGAGGAGGAGCACATCCCATATGGCTCAAGAGGTGGAATTTTTTAACAGAGGGTTTGGGTCTGGGGCTCCAACACAGACCAGCCACCAGAATCTCCCAAACTCACAGACCTCTTTTAGGCCTGTGGGGAGCACAGCGGGTAGGCTCCAGGTGGGGGAGAGGAAGGTCCGACAGCCCGTGAGCCCAGGGCCTTTACCTCCTACGGTGGTTCCCAGAGCACAGCGCAGGAGCTACCTCATCAGAAATATTCTGAGTGTCTGCTCTAACTGCAGACTCAGGGTTGAGGGGCGCTGAGAGTGACTGATTAGAATCCTGGAGGTGGGCCGCAGGAATCTGCAGTTTTCACAGATTACCAGGTGGTCCTGGTGAGTGCTGAAGTTTGAGTCTCTGTTCTCCAGCTCCTCTCCCGGGTCCTGAGAAAACGCTGGTGCAAGCGGATCGGCCTGGCCTCTGCTGCCCCCTCCTGCCCGCCTGCTGGGTCAGGCACCTGCATCTCTAATAGCAGCTGTGGAGAGACCGTGGGGCGTAGGCAAGCAGGGGCAATGGCCCACGTTGATGAGGGGACCCACGTGCATGCCAGCCCCGGGCAGGCCCTCCTCACAGCCATCCTCTTATATTACTGCCCTCTCCACTCCGGACGCTGAGCTGAGCTGGGAGAGGATAGGCGACTTGCTCCAGCCCTGTAGGCAAGAGGTAGGATCTGCTCTCAGAAGGACTCTCGGACCCCAAAGCCCTTATCTCTACCTGTTACGCTACACGGCTCCCTCCTCCTGGACTCTGATTTTCCTCTTGCCACAGGGCCTAGTGAAAAAAGAGAGAAGTTGAAGTGTGTCCATAATCCAGCTTCTGTCAGCGTCTGGCCTCCACCGGGGAGGGTGGCCATGGGGTGGGCAGCAGGCGCTGGGGGCGCTCAACACAGCGCTCTCAAACCCTTCCCTGCCTTTGAGCCAAACTAGGAAGGGGCTCGGGGGTAGGGTGGGGAAGCTGGACCAGCAGCGCCAGCTCAGACCACGACATTCACCTTGCTCTTGGGTCACCGACTGTGCTTCCACGGGTTTCCACCATGACCCCCATGGAGGCTGCCTTTGCTTCCTTGAGCCCTTTGTAGCCCAGCAGAGAAACCCCCCAAACAAAAGTTGCTCAAGGTGAGAGGGGCTGGCTGGGCAGCATGGGTGGCTCCCGCTGCGTTCCTGGACACTTCTGAGATTCAACATCTCAGAGTTCTGGGCTCTGCTTTAAGGAAAGGCCCTTCTTTGGTTTCTCCCGCAGGCGAGCCCTGGGGCAGTGTCCCGGTGGGTAGGTGGTGTGGTCACCAGGGCAAGCAGTGGGGGAAAGGGCCAGATCCATTCACGATAGGACACTGACTTATTGTAGGACTGAGACAGATCATGGGACTTTAACAATTACATTTCTCTCTGTGCTTTGGGGATGAGCAGAGGAGGAGGAATGACTGATATTTGCAAGTGGAAGATATCGTTAGCACGAAACAGCAGGACAGAGGAGAGCTGTGGTACACTCATCCATCCCACACCTACTATGTGTCGGCTGTTGGACTAGACTAGGATCATGGCAATCAGGCTGACACACTCGTTGCCACAGATTGACAGACCAGTGCCCACAGTCACCCCCAACTCACCAGGTGAAAGGAAAGGGGTGCAGGGAAAGAGCATGTCGTGGTTACAAAACAGCAGGCACGACTAAGGTGGGAGAGCATGCTGGTCCCCCAGAGCAGATTTTGGGTCCATGGGCCACCCATCTGGATATGAAGGGCCATATCCTGCTGGACCATCCAGCTGTTTCCAGCACCAGGATACTTGGGTTTGCCTGCGTACCCTGAAGACATGATGTCACCAAGGCAAGGGCAACCTCAAGGTCATCAGTATTCAACAGGGTAGCAGCCCAATCAAGGGCAGAAAGCTGGCAGGACCTTGGTGTCGGCACAGTCACCGTGGTGGTCTCCCTCCAGCTCTTATGGCATAGACTGTTTCTCTTGGGATGCAGGAAAGAGGAAGAC